ACTAATTCGACCAAATCTACGATGGCTTACATTTAGTCCCCGAGAACTTTCTAAGATTTTCAAATTCACTAACTTCCCTCGAGTTTGCAATAGGTATTTGAGAATCACTATAATTTCACTAATTCGATCCGGGCACTGGTGAAGCCGCATCAATTCTCTCAAGTTTACAAATGATACTTGAGAACCTATCTCCCATAAGTTTGATTCAGATACTTGAAAACCACTCTCCTTTATTTCTGCGCAAGGTTATAATATGATAATTATAATGAAGCACAGCTATATCTTCTCTCAAAGAAGGGATTTTGCTAATACTCAAATACGCACGTCTAGAAAACTCTCCTCTATCCCACAATTACTTACGGATATGATAAACACTAAAGCCCAAGGAGGGAAAAAATTCTTTTGGAGCTCTAACAGCTGTGGCAGCATAGCCTAATTTTTCGTTGTTGTTGGCTTCTAGCTCCCCTTTTATTCTTGTTCCTGAATGCCCATTTACGATTATATCCTTATAATATGACCGTTAGACACATTTATCTCCCATTAAGCTATTTGCATTTTAACGTTGAAGCTTCTAAGTTCTAACACGAGTAGCTTTTAAGCAAAAATATCCATTAAAAATTAATCCATAAGTTAAACACCTGCTAAGTGTGGTTTAGAATGTTTAAGCATATTATCTGAAGTTTAGACATGCGGCAAAGCCAGAACAACTTAGGACAAGATTCAAATCTTACCATGCGCTGTTGTGTGTCTCGATACATTTAACTGCACTACAGGGACTTCATGAAAGCCAGCCGATTTTATTTTGAACTTTGACTCCATAGCTATAACTTCACTGTGCAGGTTGAAGATTCATTCAGATACGCGAAGACATGGTTACATTGGACATTCAATGTATAAAACAAAAGTAAAACTGACATTCAAACATATAGTTTTCGTCGTACAAAGTGGGGACCACTCGTTAAATAATAACGATTGCAAACAGTGGTCCTAACAGATAGTGGAAGGTAACAGGAATCCAAGCCATTCGACTAAATATCTTGTAATAGTTGGCGTCACGGTTGGGATTGGATGTGGCTTTTTTTTTTTTTTTGGATTTTTAATACAAAGGGGAATGATAATATTGAATTTTTAATTACACACATATAGAGATTGCTTTTGATCTGTTTTCGTTTTATTTATATGCATTAATTGTTCATTTCAAATTTCCTACTATCACAGAAATAATATTTATGTTACATCCCAAGAGCTATATAGAATAATGATTAAATGCGACATTTTCTTTCTTTGTTTTTTTTTTTGTGGATGAAATAAGGGTGTTATTAAATCATATTGAACTTGAGACTAATCTATTTTAGGTCAAGAGTGGTTAAGAAATAGCTCTTCTAACCAATACGTTTCTCGATATTCGAACTTGTGTTTTTTTTCCTATTTAACAATTTATTAGTTATTAATGCATGAATGCTACATGTAGATGATATAATTTAATATCTCAAATAAAGGAATTGGATTTTAAAATCAACTCGTTTATTTTTTTGAAGAAGCGGTGGATCATTGAACTCATTAGCACAAAATTTATTGATATGAATGGAATCTCATGTGAAATACGTCACAACTAATATATGCTCAACAAATTATCAATTAGTACTATAAAATACAAACCCATGTTTGACAACACTAACTAGTCATGAATATCGCAGTCAATTCTTCTAATTTTGTGAGAGAGCTAATTACTTATGTAAAAATAATACTACATTTGATCCTTAATATGAAAGCTAATTAAAAATTCACTTTAGTCTTAAAATATAATATCTTAATTCACTTTTTTTCCTAATATTTATCTAATCTATTTTTGCTCCTAAGTAATCCTTATGGTGATTGTATATGTTAAAATTTTTTATTAATTAGTAGTTCAAATACACATAATTAACAAAGATATTTTAAAGTAGATAACATCTATTTATTACAAGTAACTAACTTAACTAATTTCTTTAATATTTATAAATTAGTTATTCAACTCTTAAATTAAAAACCAAAATTAGTATTTTATAAAAGTAAGGGGGGAAAATCAATGTTATAGATGTTTATTCATTTTCTTGGATTTTTGACAGCATTTTGGATGGGAACAAAAACTCGAATTGCCTGTTTGACCAAACCAGCTCCTCCGGCTCACTTTTGAAGACACTATTTAAGATAGATCTAGGTCAAAAGAAACAAAATGAGGAAAAGGAGTGATGATATAATTGAAATCTATAAATCTAGATAGAATCTCTCTCCTCTTTCCGAAGTTAAACCAGAAACCCTAATGTGGGAGATATCATAACGTTGGTGTCTGGTTCTGAATAACAAGCCAATCATAGATTTTGTAGGACATATAAATGAAAATCTATGGAAATAGTAGCAATTAAGACATACAGCTGGAATGCATTTGAAAGCAAGCAAGGAAGCAGAAGGATTGATGGTAACCTAACAGAAGAAGGTAAAAGCTAGCTGGCTGCACCAAAGAGCAACGTGGGAGAGAAATAGTGAAGGAAAGAGGGGGGGGCCCTGGAACTGGGAGATCCGTGGGCAAGCAATGAGGGGTATTCGTCGTACAAGTTAACACGCTGGAGACACAATGGGGCCCCAACCTCGTTCCATCAATTTATTGGTATCTCTCCTCTTTTCTCAATAATAATAATGCACGCTTAGCTTAGTAGTAACTTCAAGCATTGAGATTGCTAGATAGAATCGTCCCCCACCCCCCACTCATGGTCCTTCCCTTCTCTATCTTCCTCGTCGTGAAAAGGACTATCTCTTAATTGCGCCCCACAGACCCAGAGGGAGGGGGGAGAGAGAGAGCAAGAGGGAGGGAGGGGTTAGGAGAGGTAGGCTCCACTTTCTTTTGTGGCAAAAGACTTTGAGCGTGAAAGTGATACAGGTGATTAGACTAGTCAATATAGTAGTTCAAGAATTAAAGGTCTAATTGTCTTTAAAGCGAGATTAACTCAATTATGGTTAAAATAAGAGAGAATTGTAATTAAATCCCAAAAGAGAGGCATAATTATAAAAAAGTCCCAATAATAATTTAAACAACTTGTAATAACAAGTTCTAGACAATTTCTAACTTGTTAGAAGGGCTTCTTGGTGGTTTTTTTTTTCGGTGGGAGTAATTCTCCTATAAAATAATATAATTTGACGAAAATATAAAAAAATTCATATTTAATCCTAAAAAAACAGGGATCTATATTCTCTGTTGGAAAAACTGAGTATATAGACTTCTTTGTCTAATAATTCTTCAGCTTTACACGCATACACAAAGTAATTATTCTACTTCGTGACTAGATGACAGAAATCTTTTTCAGTTTTCCATGGGCAACAGATTTTTATTTTTACTTTGATGTTGATGTCTTCATGGATTTATGTCTTGAACATTATGCAATTAAAGAATAACGTAGTTCCTATAAATGTAACCAGCTTTTTAATTAATAAACCAGTCGACGGTTCATGATTCAGTGCTATCACAGTTAAACTATTTAATGAATTATAATTAATTTTATTTTAAAAACCTATGGAGATCTTCCCTGAAATCAAATTAAGGGATGTCTGTGTAAAATATATATTTTTAATTTAAAAGTAGTTTCAGTTTCAGGTTTTTCATCACAATTGAATTAATTTTTTTTTTTTCATTTTCTTCTTAAATCCAAGGTATAGAAATATAACTAACAGTTCTCCCTTGCGTTTTTCACGGTGGACATTGACAAGCAGCATGAATATTGAAACTGAGTGACTGATTTTAACATTATCACTCATAATTACAAATTGAAAATAAAGATATTAATTAATGACATATATATAAATCATGATTGAAATTGTGGTTAATAACTGTATGTATGGTTCTTTTCACATGATTGCAATGGTAATATATAACTATATATGAGGAGAAAGTAATATGGTCCATCAAAAGCTTTGAAACAAAACCCTCCTGCTCCATTATTCTACATTAAGGTTTATGTCTTCAACTTGATTTTAGACACTGAACCCTTGTTCTCTTTTTGGTTTTTATAATATAATTGATGGTACGAGCCGCCTTGGAAAAAAAATAAAAGGCCTATAAAGAGTGGTGTGGATGGTCGAGGGCCACAAAATTAATTAGTATTATTATTTTAATAAATGGAATCAGTGTTGAATGATCCACTCACAAGGAGCTATCATTGTTTTTAATGAAATTCTTGGGTCTTAGAAAAGTCCAAAAGTGTGAGTGAAGGATTTATATATTGAGTTATACTTTTATGGTCTTCGCTAGGTCTTCTTGTCCTGTCGAGACCTATTATTCTCTTTTCTTTCTTTGCAACTTGCAAACCTCATTACCTTCTTCTTGACAACCAGGATATGTAGAGCATGTGGTCCTCACCTAAATTCTTTAGCCGTATTCATATTTTCAAATGTTTTTATGAGAAACTGTTATAAATAGAAATGTGAGGAATCAATAATATTATTTATAATTCATAAATAGTATATCAAGCTCTCTCAAAGTATTTAACAACACTGTTGCGCATTTGGGACTCAAATTTACTTACTAGTTACGTTCATTGCTCATTGTATAGATTTAAATAATTTTAAACTTAACCTTGATTGTCATATTTCTAGAAAATATTTTACAGAATTTTAAATTGTGAAATATACTTTTCTAACATTTGTGTTATAGAATAATATTTATTTAAGAGTAATATGATGATTCAACCAAAAAAATTAATAGTATACTCAGAAAATTTTGATAGTGAGAGCTAATAAGTTGAATTTTTAACAAAAATTTTAAGGATTAAATTACGAAAATTGCAACTTTATAGAACGAAATAAAAATTACCTTTAACAATAATCCTATATTGGAGATCTTTATAGACACGATTTAATATTTTGTCCAAATATTTTGCAATACTTTCGATTTTCAAAAATGAATATCTGTTGGGTGCAATTTTCCGCGTTTTCCTATTTATATGAGCCTTTTTATCGTCTTCTCCTTGACTTCTATTATTCTCTCTCCCACATTCTTCTCCTGGTTTTCTTGATCTGGTTCTCTCTCTTGCTTCCCTGAACTTTATGGAAACAAGCAGAGCTGAGGGAAAGAGGAGCTCGAGGTACAGGAAAAAAGAAGAGGAGGAGGAGGAGGAAGACGAAGAGGAAGAAGTAGAAGAAGACGATGAAGAAGAGACAGAAAGTGAACTTGGCTCTGGAGAAGAACATGGAAGAAAGAGAAGAGTTATGTCAAATACATACAGCAGGAGAGGCCCCAAACCAGGAAGCTCATCGGCGGCGCCACCGTCTTGTCAGGCCGATGACTGCCAGACTGATCTGAGCGACGCCAAACCGTATCACCGGCGGCACAAGGTCTGTGGGTACCACGCCAAAGCGCCGTTCGTACTCGTTTCAGGCAACGAACAACGATTTTGCCAGCAATGTAGCAGGTAGTGAAACCCTAATCTATCGATCTTCTTATTATATGTACTTATATTGCTTTCTTTATTTCGTCTTAAAGGCATATTGTGGGTTGAAAGATCCGAGAAGGTTTGATTCGGAGTTTTAAATTACTTCTCTCTGGTTCAATAATAATAAGCTTGTTTCCCCAGATCATAAGATCTGAACTTGATTCTCACTCGGAAGCTAAACAAAACCAAAACTTGTTTCTGTGATTGGAATAAATACAAGAGACTGTTAAACATAGAAGTTGAATACTTTAATGGGGTAATGGAACTTAGAGCATTTTATCATTGGAATAGAAGTTTGATGCCATTTGAGGAAAGTTCAAGGTGGGTAAGGGTATAGGGTTTAAACTTTTCTAATACAACTAAAGAAATACATGTCCGATGGAGAATTTAATTTTTTTGATGCAGTAGTAGTTGGATACTTTGATTCCACTCTCTTTTTGAGAATGAACTTCAAGTCTCTCATAAATAGAATAATGATATGTGTATAAGTGTGCATAAGTAAATAATTTGACTGTTTGGTGTTAGCCCATTTTAATTGACTTTCAATTTTTGTGAGAAGAAAATCATCCTAGGGAAAAACTACTCTTCAATTAGAACACGTCTTGTTATTGTAATGGATAGTTTTACAGGGTTCAAATCCTCTGCTTATAGGCACATTCTCTTGTGTCACTCATTCTTTGAATGTGTGATAACTCTGCAATGGGAAATTCTTGGGATTCTTGTCTTGAGCATGGAGCTATTAATTAGCATTTAGAATCATGTTCTCGTGTTATAATATGTGCTACCGAAATATGAGTACTTACTCTGATCCTTCATGTAAATCACTTTTAACTATTACTTTTGCTCCTTAATATAAGAACTAGTTAATCAATTTGTTTATGTTAAAGAAATTAGTTAAGTTAGTTATTGGTAATAAATAGATGTTGTCTTTTCTAAAATAGTTAATCAAGTATATTGATTAAAACTATCATTATTATAAAAACTATTTTGAGAAAAAAAAGATAAATATGATAAACAAAATGGATTGTATTTTATATTTAGGATCAAAATAAAAGTCTAATGAAGTTTTATATTAATGACTGGAGACAATATTTTACTAAACTCCCAAAAAATTTAAAATAATCTAGAAATTATTTTGATTTCCATCTTTAGAAGATACCATTAATTTCAAAAGCATATATTCCCTCCATATCCCTTCATTGGAAATTGACAAGAAGGATTTAGGATAAAAAATTTCTTCTATGAATGTGGCCTATTAAAGGATTAGGGGGAGTAACATTTTATACTACTACTTCATATACTTTTTTGTTTTACTTGTAAATTCAAGATTAGTAATCTTGTACGTTATTCAAGAAGGCTTACAACAAGTTTCATCCATTAACTAACACATAAATAGATTTTGGGTCTATTTTTTGTCAAATGAGTTACAAAACACAAAATGTTATGATCATGAGTTATTCTAGAAGAGGGTATTCAATCGAGATGATATGTATATTAATATATAGAATATTTGCGGGAAAAATATATTCATTATCTTTAATTTCTGAAATTGTGAGTAACTTTGAGTAAGTAGACTATGTTTCTAGTTACGGAATGCGTTGCATAATTCTTGATTTCAAACCACATGTGATTAATTATCGACAAATTTCATGTTTTAAGAGTACCATACATTTGTCAACATAATAACATGTTCTTTTGGTTTTGTAAAAATCTATGGTACTTACAATCCACTGGCACAATGCTTCACTTTACTTTTATATGATGGGGATTTATCGAAACGACGTCCCAACTAGAATACGACAGGTGTATATTTTTGTGTGTGAATTAAACTCCACTGTCCATAATCCAAAAGTGCGTGGGTCATAAGCATATCCACTTCTCTTTCTTCCATAATATGGATAAGTTTTTGCTTGGACCTGTCAAACTTAAAAGTGATATAAAAATGTCATTTACGGTGAGTTGTCAATTCATATGGGTCATGATCTAGTGAAACACATTTTGATTCTTAGTTATCTTTAAGCATCATGGAGTCGGGAGGAGAAAGATAAATGCACGAAATCCTATATATTTATCTCTCTTCTTGGAACATTTTACTATTATGGAAGATAGAAATAGAGTTAAATAGGTTAATTCATTTGGACCTCATTAGTTACAATAATAATAAAGAGTCTTAATTACCTTATTAGGTGGGATTGGTGAATCGTACGGTGTTATTATACTTTATCAATAATCAAATTTTTAAATAAATGAGAACTAAAAGATCATCTTCATTAACTTCTCCATTGAGCACTCTGTTTACTCTTCGTCTATCTATTTTCAGAAAACTTCGTACTGTCTGATTTACTCGCATTACCTGTGCATCCAATAGCCTTGAAAATTTGGGCTAGATAGGTTCAAAATATGAATCTAATTTATTAGTGATGTGAAGCGAGTTGCTGGCGTTGTTTGTTTAACATGTCAAAAAAAAAAAAACAAAACAAAACAACATCGAAGTTATTAGTTTCATCTTCTTATAGATATTATGATTATATATAAATAAATATTATATATACGAAATGGATAGATAATTACCTTTTGAAGTTGTCCTTGAATATTAATTTCCCTTAATGGATTGTAACTTTTGCAGGTTTCATGAGCTTTCAGAGTTTGACAACTCAAAAAGGAGTTGTAGAAAGCGTTTGGCAGGGCATAATGAGAGAAGACGAAAGGTTTCATCTGATTATCATGGAGAAGGTTAACATTAATTAATTAATTAATTGAAATCTCAATATGTATATTATATAATTGAGATAAACTCATCGATGACACCATCTTCGTATTGAAATTTATGTTATTGTCCTCCTTAGATGCTCTCTCTCTTCTGTCAATCTCTTTATAAGAGCTTTGCAAGGAACAATATTATTATTGTTATTATTTTATGTGCATGAGTATATTTTCATCTAAAGTCAGTTTAATTACGCTTGATCAGTTTTTTTTTGTGTAGTTGTATGATTTAAACTAAGCTATATTATACAACCTTGAGCTAAAACTGGATGTCCGTCCAATGTATTGCACAAATTAAGACCTAATGAGTCATAAATGTTCATGGAAAGTGGCTTATATATCTCCTCTTGCGACTATTGATGTTTTATTAAATTTGATAATTTAAACATTTTCTTTTGGTAATGATGATAGTGTGTTTAATAAGAATTATGTTATACATGACTTATAAATAGTTATATAGGACTATAAATTTTAGGTATTATTTTATTATTTAGCTACCGATCACTCATTCATTTTATGAAATTAAAAAAAAATAAAGCATGTTATTTATGACTTATTAATAGTATAATATTCTATAAGGTATCCCATTGGGGGGGGGGGGAAGGAGACAGTAAAAGCTGTAAAGAAGCTCGCTCTTTCTCAGAGAGAGAGGGAGGATAGATTTCTTCAATCCTTTTCGATTCAGTAATTTTTTTCAAGTGGAATCTTGTTAATCAAAATATAAACTGGCATAATTACTTTTCATAGTATCCCAATTGATGGACACGCATGTATGTTATATTTGGCGAAATAATTTGATTAATGAGTAAGTAGAATATTTAAAATGCATGACCAAAAAAAAAAATTAAGAATTATCAGTTGAGTGGTGAGTCACAGAAATCTAACCATCTTTATTTAATTACTTTCCTACCTTCTCAAATGTCATACATGGTCATTGATTCTATTATCTAGTTATAAATGTTATATTGTCCCCTCAAACTTGGGGCTAAATGTTTCAATTCCTGTGGAGAGGATATATATACACATGAAAATATGTGATGAGGCTAAATGTTTCAATTCTATTCTTGAGTATTTTAACTCTAACATTGTTAGTTTCATTAGCAAAAAGTGTCATCAGTAAATTTTTAAATACTGATAAAATATTCTCAAATACTGATATATTAAGTTTATTTTTTAAAAATAATAATTATTGGCACACAAAAAAATCATTTGAGGCTAACGGGATCAGGCTATAGGATTAGAACAATTATTTTATAAAATTAAACGATCAAAATGAAACTTCGCATAAAGTTAGAAGATGATATAAAGTTAATGATGGAATGATGCATCTCTATGCAAGTGGCATTACAAGTTTTCCAAATGTCAAATATAATAATAATTTCACGATTTTGATTTTGAAAAGTTATTCCTCTTTTTACCTTGCACGGGTTCTAGAAAAAGACGAAGCACTTTGATTTAGTGCATCCAATAATTTTCGTGACCAAATGGATTTATTATATAAGACAAGAAGGTCATAGCCCCCTAAAGACTAGTTCGCATGTTAAGTAAAATCTAGATAGCTGTTTTACTGGATTAGTTGATTTCTTTGAAACCCATGGAGTCCAATAAGATGGCAAAACAGGGTGAAATTATGTTCTTTGAGGGAAAACTAATACCTAGCCAGCTAGCTAGACACAACCATGTGAAATTAAGAAAATTGAGCCTTTGCATATACGTAATATATCTTAATTAACTCCCAATAGCTATAGTTTTACTCAATTTTTAATTTCCTCACTTATAATCAAAGAAGGAAAAGAACATGACTGTTGCAAAGAGAAGCAGATATATGCAGCCTTTAGTTTAAAGCTTCGCATTTCTTTCTCAATGCCTATTAATTTCTATTCCACTCCCTATTTTAATATTTTCTTCAGATTCCATCTTATAGCTGGAAAATTAATTAATAATGAGATTCAAGAATAAGGCAAATAAAGCATAAATACTGTGCAAGCAATCTGTTTATGAAAAAGAATTAGTTAACAATAAGCAGCCATTAATTATGACCAAGATAATTTGTGTTTATCGCCTGTTTTAATATCTATGTTGCAATTTTAATCAGAGTCAGCAGAGACTCATAATGGCCACATATGCAACTATTAATGTGTCACTTCATGAAAGTATCAGATTATAACCATGAGGATGAGTGCATATAACTGAGGAAACGCTAAGAATTCTTTTAATAAAAGGCAACAAAAACTTAATTCAAAATATGAGTAAACTACATGGAGTGAAGGATTAATGTTCCCTGAAAAATATAAAGAAAGTTCATTTATTGGATTTTACTTCTCTAAAACGCCCCATGCTTTAGAGAATGAATAATTTTTATCCTGATAACAAAATTAAAGGATAAAATAAAATTCTATATGCTTGTGAATAGTTATTATGTTTTCCCTTATTTTTGTTATTTCTAGAAAAGAAATTAAGCAAATATTTTTTTTGTTGGCGCTTTGTAGCCCAACTGATACCAAGCACCTTTTTTTCTTAAATATGAGGTTGTGAGTTCAAACCCTTAATTAAGAATGTAATATGTACGTGTATCATGACCAAAAAAATTAAACAATTGCTTTCCCGTAGACATTTAGACCCAAATACTTAAATGTACATTTTCTGCAAGGACAAAAAGTAAATCAAATTACTTCTTCAATGACACTTGTTACCCTCGATATAATTTTGGTGCAGTTTTGAAGCCCAGTAAAGGCGCTAAACGGTGGTTCTAAAATTGGTTTGGAGATAATTAAGGGCATTTTTTTAGCTGAAATAACTAAGGGCATTTAAATTATAAATTATACTGGAAGTTAGAAATATTTCAAACCCTTTTCTTTTTTAATTCCATTTGATCTTTTGTCCTTCAAGTAAAAAGTAAAGACCACACGAGTTCGAAGGAATTTGAGAAATTTTATCCCAAGTCGAAGTGAAAATTTTTTTCACATGTTTTAATATAAATTGATATTAAACCCTAAACCCTAAACTATAAAGATAAAAAGAAAACACGAAGAATATAGTAAATAACTAGACATAAGAGGAAACTAAGTGTATGTTTGTAATCATGTAGATATAGATGGCTTCGTTGCTCTCCTAGACTCCCTCAGGCACTCCTTATTTAGCACTTGAGATCATCCAACTATTTATCATGTGACTATTTAGGTATAAAAGAATTTACCCAAAATATGATTTATAAGAGTTAAAAAAAATTATTATTATGAAATAATAATAGTAGTAGTAGTAGTAAAAAATGATTGTTGTATATTTTTATTTTAGATAAAATTGATGAAGACAAAACCTTAATATTTTTTTTACTAAAGAAGAGCTCACTTATAGTAAGAACAATTAAATATTGTTGATCTTGCTGATAATGATGAAGATGAAGATAAAAATAATAATATGTTGATGTTGTTAGTCTTTAGCTGCTTAGTTTTTATCCTTTTACTTTTTCTGTTTTAATTTTTTTTTGAATTTGAACAATAGTTTATTAGTGTTTGATTTTTTTCTCTGAACAATATTAGTTTATTTTACTAATATTTATAATTTGAATAAAACATTTTAGAAGATTTATTATTTTATTTTTTATTTCAAAATAAGTGAAAATTTTATATTTAAAAAATAACATAAAAGGTCTGGTCTCTTTAGCCCTGAGCTCGCATGTTGAGGGCTGGGTATTGTTTATTTGTTAGCTGTTAAAATATATATCTATATACATACATATATATATATATATATGTACACTTATCGATTCATCTATTAACTTGAACTAATAAATATAACTAACTTGGTCTGCATTTTTTTCCTTTATGCAATAATAGATCATAGATCCAGGAAGCCAAAGCATCACGTAGAACGGAAGGTGAGTTTACTTTTATTTATTATCTTGTATTTCTTAAATGTATATCATACATTAATTTAATTAATAAATATAATGAATTAGAATGCTCTATAATTGGATCCGCATTGGATTAGCTAGTAACTGTTTTTTTTTCGATTTCAAAATTTTAGAGAATATAAAGTTTTGCTAAATATTAATATAGTAAACTCACCTTTTCATCACCCCACACACACATAAAGAAATATTAAATTAAAAAAAATAGTTACAAAGAATCAATAAAATGTTTTGTGAAAATTCCAAGAACAAAATATAGAGAAAAAATAAAAAATAAAACCACTGATTTTTTTTTTGTCTGGATAGAACGGAAAAACAAAACCACTAATTTGTAAATGTTTAAGTTTTTATAGATTTTATATTTGTATTTATATTGATGTTGACATTTAACCTACCCATCATAATATGTTCAAGCGTAAAACTTTTTCTGCTAGAAAAAGAGAGTTTCACGCTTGGATCAGAAAATATATTAACATCAAATCAAGTTTTTAAAAGTACTATTTCTCAATAATTGTGCTTAAATTCCATCCCATATTGTTCTCCTTATTACTTTTTTTCTTTACTTTAGGTTGATTATTATTGACGATAGGGAACACAAAAGTACAATTGGCAGCCCAACCCAGAAACAGATAAGATGCATACATCCCCCTTGGAACATTTTAGGTCAAGCTAAGTCAAACACGACAGGCTATAGTTATCCTTTCTTTTTTTCCTTTTGAAAGCACGTCTTGTTCTTTTTCTTTTACTATTGGAGCGTAGAAGTCTTATCATTACCGGGAAAAAAGGAGTAAAAAGTATTATTAGGGAGTAAAGTGGGATACATTTACAGGCACAGCTATAACCAATGTTCCAAAAGTCCGTCACATTTATTCGCTTCAAGAGTTCCTCTAGGCCTGTAGTAAGATCTTGAGAAGTTATTATGTTGTATGAGGGGGTTAAGATTACCAAGCTTTGGTGTGAACAAGGGGGTAAGAGGGTTGTAAGGACTACACTAATGCCTGCGAGAAACTAGTGAGATTATTGTCATTTTTAAGAGATAGTGAATTTCAAATTTCAAGAAAACTTGGGCACTGGATGTAGATATGTGGAATGGTCCAAAGAATATTTCTGTGTGTCAACTTCTTTATTGTCTTAGAAGAGTTTCAGCGGCATCCCTTCAACATTATTCTATTTTTTTTTTTTGAGTAAAAGGGGAAATATATTAAAGCAAATAATTACAAAGACAAGGTCAGTTAGGCAGTAGAGTTTATAGAATTAAGTTGCTCTT